GAGAAGGAAGGACTCCCTGGAGAAGAGCCTAATGCTGGGAGCAATAGATGGCAAAAGAAGAAGGGGATGGCAGAGAATGAGGTGGCTAGATGGAGTCACTGAGGCAGTCGGCCTGAGCTCATGTGGACTCCAGGGGATGGTGGAGGACAGGAAGTTCTGGAAGAATGTTGTCCATGGGGTCGCGATGGGTCAGACACAACTTCGCGACTAACAACAACAACATGTTAAATTAGCCCATTGCACAATTTAATACATGTCTTTAGGTCAATTATTTAAAATAAGTTTCAGCCATTGATGTTGTTTAAGGGGTTTGCTATCGATACTATCTAATTTGTCTCTTTCACTGGGTCCATGTTTTAGGCTGTATGTCAGTAAACAGTAGGAATGATGAAGCTGTAATAACTGATGATTCAGAAATGGAGGTTATAAACGATCAGCTTGAAACAGAAGGATGTGCTCCAGTGAAACAAAATGTTCAAGTGAACTGTGATTATCAAGATGTAACTCAGCTTTCCTATGGTAATTTTATTTCATTTCATTTTGAAAGTTTGTGCTTGTGGGTCTTCATCCTCATGTCCAGTGGCTATTAAGAGAGCTAAAGTTTTGGCTGGTCTTTGTAGCCAAGCCAAAAAGGTGGTCTTCAGACTTTTGCCTCAGCTGTTTCACTTCCATATTTGGAATCTTAACCAAAGGATATTAGGTTGTCTTAGCAAGCTTGGTTTTCAGAAAGCTTGATTTCTTGTGGTTAAGATTCCAAATATGGCAATACAAATGTGGTTCATGTAGTATCTGAAAAGCATTTATAGCGTATTTAGTAGCCTATATTACGTTAGTTGATATTCTTCAAATTAAAATCAGTAACATTTATGTATGAAATATTTCAACAGCAAATGCTTCTACCGAATGTTTCTAAATGTATTTGAGAAATCTATAACTAGTTGAGATAGTGATGTTTAAAAATAGTTTTATATTTTTCATTTGTCTTGGAGTATACCCAATTCACAATATGACACTCACTTCTTAAAAACACGTTTCTATTAGGTAATGATGATTTATTGAACAGGGAAGAACCAGATGAGTCACAGATGAACCTTCTAACACATAGGCAAAGACTCAACAGCAGCCCAGAACAAATGGAATTGGTTTATTTTCATAATAGACATCAGCATTCACCCTCTCTAGTAGGGGTAAGTATATTACCAGAAGTTACTTCAGAACTTACTGCAGGGACCTTTTGAATAGACAACAATACTTGAAAACAGATGTTTGCCTATTCTGCTTGCAGAAGGTAGATCGTGGTTCCTTGGTAGGCCTGCTGGTTGTTCTGATTTGTGCAGAACAGTACATGATTAGATGGATGTTATGATGAGCCAGCAAGGTAGGATCACAGTACTGAGGACCCCTTAACACAGATTAGCTGTATTCAAACTGTTAACATTCTGAAGATTCATGCTTGCATTTTAAATTTTAGGCAGATTTGTGGACCGCAGAAAATTATCGTTAAAGAAAAAGTAGTTTTCAGAAGACTGAGAACAGCCTACACATGAATGAGCCTGTATGAATTTTATCTCGCTTCTAACTATGAGAATACAGTATATGAACAGCAACTGTTTTTGTGTTACAGTTTCTTTTATCCACAGTGTGGCAGCAGTGATCTGCCATTTTAATGCATAGCACAGAGTCAGATAATTTTCTTAGTGACTGAAAAATAGTACCATGTGATTAAAAGTGCCAAATCAGTTATAATTAAAGTTATTTATAAATATTTTATTAGATGAGAGCCAGAGAATCTGAATATGAAGATGGAAGTGTGATTTATGAGTATGACCCTGATGAATGCGTATGTATACCTCCACATTTTTTAGGGAGAACGGTGTCTTCTAATTTGTTTTTTAATTTGGGAGTATTTTCTTTCCAATTTTTCCTATGCCCAAGGTTAATTTTTCATTGTCTTTGCACTAGGGAAGTGTTTTATCTGAAGGTTCATACATGGGAAATCATCAGAAAACACTGATGGATGTTCTTAATTATTGTCAGGTATTGTAACATCTTTCATTGTTTGTTTGTAACAGTTATGAGGTTCTTCCAAGACTGTAAGTCAGTTTTATCACAAAGCAAGATACCAACCCTAATCCTGGTCAGGATCCAACTTAGTATTTGTAGTGTCCATGTGACATTTCCATTATTAATATGCTGTTAGGTTTGATCTACCCTAACACTTCACCTGGTGCTGCCAGATGGTTACTAGCAGTCAAAGAGCCAAGTTTATAAGTGTTCCTAATATATATGTATTGATTGCCTATTTGATTCTAGACTTAATTTAAAGAGCTAGTGATCTGTAAAGCTATAAACATTTAGGTCCAAGTTACTTCAGAAGTCACCTGCCTGGCTTAAAGATCAGCTCTTAAGCTCCTGCTCTGTACTGCCTACAGAGGCAGGTCAGAACTACTCCGTGGGGCAGCCAGATCTGTTAGACTGCCCCCCTGTGAAGATTCACCATGCTTCCCTTATTTCTGTCTTAGACATTTGATAAATATTTTTTAATTCCATCTGGCTTTTGATCCATGAACTTAGATTTTTATGACATTAGAAATGCTTGAAGTTTCAGTAGTACTGCTGTTTATATTTGCTGCTTCTGTTTTTTGTGTTGCATTTGACTTTATTAAAAAGTTCTCAGAGTAACAAGCAGTAAATAAAAATTAAAGTAAATACAATCATCAAATCGCACATTGGAATTCACAAGTAGTCATCCATGTGAATAAGCCATATTCCTATTAATACAACACAAATATGAGAGTAATCACACATGCCTAAAATACTAGACATTCTAAAATAAATAATATAGAAAAGCCTGCCAGGATTTTTAAAGAATTCTTCACGTAGACATCTCATTGCCAAGCCTCACAGGTGGCAGAGCTTTCCGTAAGTGTGGTGCTACAACTAAGAAGGCCATTCCTTGTGCAGCCATCCTCTGAGCTTCCTTGGAGAAGGACTTTCTTGGTTTGGGCACAATCCTGTGCATGCTGAGACAGAAAAAGGCCCTGTAGCATGGCCTAGACAACTATGCTGGCTGGGCAACACTGGGAATTGTAAGACTTGGCTCCCTCTAATCACGCAAAGCATTGCATCCTTGATGAGCTTACTTGTTCTAATGGAAGCCTTGTTTAAAACTATTTTATTTTTGTTGTGCTTTTAAAAAGCTTTCTTTATTATGTTAAAATAAATTCAGCATATAAATAAACTAAGCCAGTGAACACTGCTAGCGAGATGCATGATCTTTCTTCACAAGCCAGTTTTACAACAATAGCAAATGCAAATCCTGTTCATGGTGTATCTTGACTTGGGCAGTAAAGTCAAGATAAGGACCAAACTGTGAATCTCCAATAGTATCTTCTAACATTTTACTCTTGTGCCTGAACAAAAATGGTAACAATTGATTAGCCATATGATAGGAAGCATAATAAACCTCTGTGAGCAGTTGTCTTTTCTACATCACGTGTTCAGTATTTGATATTTGTGAGGGTGGGGCAAAAATCTGGATTCCTGATTGCTATCGACACATTTCAGATTAGACCTGAAGAATGCTAGCCAAGTGGCCAAACCCTTATAAGAAACAGTCTAGTCCCAGACTCCATTAAATATCTTTTTCCCAGAAGCAAACCAGAGGAGAAAAGCACAGAAAGCGTTCATTGAATGGAGCATAATTGCTTCTTCCATGACTACTGTCCAGCTTTGAACTTTCTTTCCATTTGACTTGCTTGTTTCCAGGCCATGTATGATGCCATTCAGAAACTGGATAAAAAGTTTGATAGTCTTCATCGTAAGGTCTCGGATATGCAACGCACCCAAATAAAGCCTTTCCTTTTAAAACCTGTAAGTATTGAATATCCATCACTGTAACTTGCTTTTGTGGATGTTTTGTAAATGTCTCCTTGTCTCCTTAATGATTTGAAATGGCAGCAATCATGTAATCTTATCCTGCACTAGAGGCAGGTAACTATATACAACTCAAGAAAACATAACACGCAGCATTTCTAGGTATAACTGCATTTCATTTCTGTTATAATGCAAGATTATGTATATAGAAATAAGAAAACATTGCACACAAATATAGTTAGTGTTTATATAAAAGAAACTGACCTATGTTGTAGCATAGCTTTCCATTCAGAGTAGCTAAGACTGTCTTACAGGTTCCTAGGAATGTAGAAACCGATTACCAACATTTGAGAACAGAGGAATATTGCTGCTATCTGAGCCACAAATAAACTATTATTAAAATGAATGTCAAATCAAGTTGAATGTATTGAATCTAATCACAGCATATCAGTGTTCCTAAGAGCAGCTTTGATAACTGCAGTTGTTTCGAAACAGATTGGTGCCAAACATTGTGGCCAGTTAGTGCTCTTGTTTGGGTCATTGAATTTTGCCCTAATTTCATTTTCAGAGGCCGGTTGGATTTACCTACAGAAGCTCTAGTAATCTCTCAACTGGGAAAATCAGAGTCCAGAAACCAACAGAAAGAAGGCTAAGTCACATCCTGCCTACTGGGTTTGGGTGCCACAGGCAACCCACAAAGGTTAGGCTGCAAAGGGCCCACATGTTGACCAGCTCTCCACAAACTCTTCAGCCTGAGTCACACGCTCCTGTGCACAGGCAGAGTCCACCCCTCCCTACAATAGTTTCTACCCATTCCTTGTGTCCCTCATTCAGCATGGATAGTGAGATGCCTGGTCTTCCTTCCAAGACTAACCTAGCAACTTTGGTCACTGAAAGCCCTGCTGCTGTGGCTTCTTGGTCAATGGCCTCCCCACCAGTTTCATCAGCAGTCTCTGCACCACCAGCAGTTAGAAACAGTACAGTAGCAACCACCAAAACTTCACCCGGAAGCACAGATATTCACAATGAACCCCCACCATCGTCTTCTGCTTCCAAGAGCCCAGTAACAGCCTCCAGCTGCTCATTGTATCCACCAGTCAGCACAGCTAGAAAGATGCCCGATCTTGTTTCCCAAGCTAGTCTTGCACCTGAAGTCATGGATATTCCTACTCATGTGGTACCTTCAGCTGTGCCTTCCCAAAACGTATTGCTAGTCATGCCACCTGAAACCAGTTCACAGAGAAACAACATACAAGCTTCATCTGGAAGTGCAAGCACTAGCAATGAGATTCCCTCTTCCATGAATCCTAATTTTGGTGAGTTGCATTAAAGGTGTTTTCAGAAGAATTGCTCATGCTTCAACACTGCTATCTAGACCAACTATATTAGATGAATGTAGTGATGCATTAGAGGCATGCTAAACCCCACCCCCTCTATTTGATTAACCATGGCAGCCAACCATTGCTTCTAGCAATTTATTTATTTATTCAGTTTATATGCTACTATTAAATTAGTCCCAAGGACTCTCTAAGCAGATATAACCTCTGATTTCTTTCTTCTTCCAGGTGGATTCCTTTTGTACCTGCTGCATGGCATAGAGTGCTATAGGGGACCATTCCTGGTGCAAACACTTAACCTGACTCTGTTTTCAAAGATGTCTCTCTGGTGACCAGTAGCTTTTGAAAGAACCTTTTGCAGACTTGCCCTGCTGGCCACAAGAATTTGCACCCATGGTCCACACCAGTATCTGTGCAGACAGAATTCTATGGTGTGCTTATCTCTAAAAAGGGAAAGGAAGCCAATTCTGTACAAAAAAGAGGAAAAAGGGAGTAAGGTCCAGTTGCCCATTACCAGTCTCTTAAGCATGATAAAGAGAATAGGATCAGTAAATCTCCAGTGGTTCTATCAGGACACAATTCTAAACATACGGGCCATGTCTTGTGGAATCTCAAAAGTGTCCCTTTGGAGGACTGCTAGAATATTTTTTAATGTTCTTTAAATGTATCCCCTCCCCATCTAGAATTTATTGGTGATCCAAAGAGGAATGTGAAGATCCTTGGAAACTATTTGATGAAAGCTCTACAAAAGTCCGAACCCAAATATGCTGCTCGCTACTTAGTTCGTGCCTTATTCCCAAAAGAGATACTGCTGTGCAGTGTTATGGGTGTGAAAGCACGAGGGCGCAGGATGCTGGACCCTAACAAGATAGCTGCTATAAGAGGTATGTCAGACTGGGATGAGGAAACAATTGGTTTTCAGCCCTCAAATATTCTTTATAATCCCAAGGATGGCAAACACGGGGTTCTTGGTCTCATGTTTTCCCCTAATTAATGCAGTGATACTGTGCTTAATATTTTCCTTACCAGTTCTGGCCACAATTCCACTTCCTTATTCATATCTCCTCATTGATTTTTCTTCTTTTTTGCCCAGCTGGCCAGGATATCAGAAATAGGCCCAGCATGAGGCTAGCGGGGTTTTGGAGGAGGATGAGTAGATGGGGAAACAGTTAAGCACCACCTGTAGCCTCCATTAATTTTACCTGCAAATTCTTAAATATTACCTTTAATCTTATTCATCATCTACCAAGTTATTTCAGAAATCGCCCATCGGTCCATTTTTGCACTTGTCTTTTCACTGTTGTTTTACTAGCATCTTATATTCTAATTATACCTGTTATGATGCAAAGATTGTGTCTCCCATTTTGTGTTCATTCTTTCTTTTTGATGAACCTGGCATTCCTGATCTCTCTGATGTACCTAAAATGCAAAAGTCAGTAAAACTTCTGAGATACGAAATCTAAAGCTATTTTTCTGGCCAAAGAAACCAATATCCTCCTCCTTGATTTACAGTGTTGGTGTTTCAGCTTCAGTCCATGATTATGACTTAATAATAAAGAGATAACAAAGAAGTTTATTGGTTGTTTATCAATGTCAGTAAGAGTGTTTTCCAGTTCTAATGTATTTCAGCCATGAAAGTTAATTGGTAAATTAACTTGGTAAATTCCAATCCAGGGTTTTCTGTCCAGTGCTTTCTCTTTTTATACAGACTTGGCAATTTGAATCTTGCTGAAATATTTTGATCATAATAAGATCATAATCAAACAAATTGTAGAAACGGCAGGCTTCTTAAGCCTCAAATTAGGTAACTCATTATCTTGTAAGTATTTCATCTCATACTAGCTCTTAGCGATTATAAAAATGTCATTGTTTAATCAAAGGACTAGGTTATTTTTTCAGTTATGTACAATTCTTCCCCACACCTTCCTGTATTTTTGAATCTAGAATTTCTTGCAACTTACTTCTCCAACTATGATCTGAGTGAGCGTGGAAGAGACTGGAAAGCCTGTATCACAAATGTGAATGCAATGATCCGCGGTTTACGGTGTGAATCCAAAACAAAACCAGTAAGTCCTTTCTTTGTGTTGACTCCTCTGAAGACATCCTTACCAGACTAAATAGCTTCAACAGCACTTATTTTATACTAGAAATGGGAAATGAGCAATAAATTGTGAAGTTTAGAGACTGAAATGGTTAAGCATGTGGCGTGCTCATAAAAAACAAATGATTAATAAAGCATCAGGTACAAAAAGTTCTTTTATCCATGCTCTCCTAACCTTCTGGTTGGATTACTTCTATCTGTCATGCATGAGGCTACCTTTAAATATAGTTCAGAAATTTCTGTTGGTTCAAACACAGCGCTGCTAGCTTACTAACTGGGACTAGCCAATATGATTGTGTGTTTTGTCAGCTGTACTGGTTTCCTGTTTCTTTGTTTCTAAGGCAAGCCCCAAGTGTGGTGTTGACCTTTAAAGCTCGAAACAGCTTGGGAATGGAGTAGTGACGGCAGGGGTCCCCACCGCTGTACTCATGGATGCCGTGATGCACATGAGCACCTGTGAAGGAGTCCCCAATGTGGTGCTCCCAGGCACCTGAAAAAGTCTTATATTTTTATTTCCCATGTTTAAATGTATGCACATGAATGTGTATATATCCACAGCAGTAAATGCATATGAGAATATAGAACTTGCTAACAATTATAAATAGGCTTCAACAGCAGTGGACCAAATATTCAAATAATTATACATTTTAATATGGCGTCTGTGTACCAGTTATTTAAATATTTGAAAGCATTATAAGGTCCTCGGTCCATTATATTATAGATGTCAAAAAGACATAGGTAATCCATTTATGCCCACATTTTGTTAATTTCCATGAAGAGTATTTATTTCTATACTGCTGTACAGTCAACACTCTCTGAGCGGTTTACAAAAGTGAAGTAGGTAAATAAATTAAAAGAGCATGTCTTCCAGCAAATATTATAGACTGTTCCAGTACAGAATTTACAAAAAACTATGATATATTGCCAAACCGTCTGTTTTAAAGAAGCATTCGTTGTATTGCAATTAACAAAATTAGAGAACACCATATTAAAGACATTTGGGGTTCAACATATCAGATGCAACCTAAGTTCCATAGACACCCAGAGGCTAGTAGTTATTGGATAGCATAGAAATGTAGTAAATGATTTATAGCGATACTTTCTGTATTTTACACTCTGTTAATGGAAATTTTCCTTTTTGTTTTACTTCCTTAGGAGATGACTGAAGCAAAAGAGAAGCTTTCTGACACTCTAAACACATCTGACTTTGCAACTGTAACTTGTAATGGAAAGGAAAGTGAGGTCCCTTCTCAAACCAGCTCAACATCAAGCCAACTTCAGAATTCAGCAAGGAATGATAACACGTCAGAGATGCTCCATACACCATCTTCCAGTAAACTACCAGCATTGGAGGCAATGGGTAAGCTGTGGGGCTTCATAACCCAAATAAAATATACCATGCATGTCTAACAAGCTATAAGATACTTAAAAGCATCTTCTATTTTTCTACCTGTCTGAGAATGCAAAAATGGGTGTGCAGGGAAGTTTAAAACTTTAATTTATATTGTGAGTACTTGGCTGATTTTAGGTATGTACTTTACATCTTAGGCCAATGGTCACAAACCCATTTAGAATTTCGACAGGGTGTCATGGGTAGTCTTACAAAATGGCAGGTATGATAGATATCAGTCACAAACCCCCCATTTTCCAGAAGATAGTGGGTCCATTAAATTTTTATGAATCTTCCCACATAGAATTCTTCAATTTTTAATCAGTTTGCAAAGAATTTGATGTAGTCCAGTCTAGGTACCAAGTCTGAAGTAAAGTTAAGGGCCCAATCCCTTGGATGCTGAAACCGCAAAATCCTACAGCTTCCCAAGTTGGCATGATAAATAACACACTCAATTTTTGTTGAATTCACCCTAGTCATAGAACCCAGTTAATGAAAATTCAATGTTTATTTCCTTGTGTACACACACATAGACTGTACTGTGTCTATACTAAGTATAGATTAGTATATAGATTATGATAGAAAACCTCATAGGAATGTATTTTCTCAAGAGAAAAGGTGTATGTAGAATGTCTCTTATGCTAAGAGGTTATCACCTTTATTTCCTTCGCAGCCAGTCTTGGGAATCCGTCTCGTAATGTCCAACTGCCCTTTTCAGTGATTGATGTGGCCAAAGGAAGACCTCGGCCAGAACTTTCAGCACGCTATCTGATTCGTCACCTTTTCACAGAGGATGTCCTGGTAAAAAGCAATGTATATGGCAATGTGGAACGTGGCACTTACCCACTGGACTGCAACAAAATCAATGCTCTCAGGGGTAAGTAACTGGTAAAGCTGAAAGAGGTTCAAGCCGCAGTACTGTACGCGCTCATCTGGGAGTAAGTTCCATTGAATTCAGTGTGATTTGCTTCTAAGAATTGCACTGTCGGAGAGTAACACAGATGAAAAACCACCACACTTTAGCAGAGTGAATAATCACATAGATTTAAAATAATGCAGTGTCAATATTATATAACTTTGACTGGAGTTGTACACTACTAAAAAGCAAGCAGGATGAGACCCTTCTGCTCATCAAATTTATCTGTTACTTTTGGCAGAAAGACAGGCTGGGACATTAACAAATGTATAAATATTTGAAGCAGCTCTTCAAAAAGTGCTTTGGAATACAGCCCTATATATGTTTGGACCGAAAAATAGTCCCAAAGCTCCCAGCTTTCCCCAGCCAGCCGTTTTCCTGTCTAAACATGCACAGGAATGCATCCTATTTTTAACAAGATGCCCTTAATCTGCCCAGTCTGAACAATACATGATCGTTTGCACCAATATAAAATTTGAATAAACAGTTGAATAAGCAAATGCTAATTTTCAGCTTTCCTTTTTTATTAGACTTTTTGCAAGAAAACTACCCATCTTTTGACCTGAAGGAAACTGGATATGACTGGAAAGCATGTGTCGCAGCTGTAAACAGTACAATTCGCAGCCTGAGATATGACCATAAAAGGGCCTTAGCTGGTGACCAGAACAACATACTGGCTGAGCCACGGCCACTGTCAAAAAGCACTCAGTGAAGCTCTTGTGAAGTATAACTATGTAGAAGTATCAGACTAGTCTGTTGAGCCCACTGGATGATGTGCCTAGCTACCTGTGATTCAACTACAGTAGAGCTTTTCAAGAAATGATGCAATTCTTCATTTTCAAGATTACTGACTTAACTGTTTGAAAGACCAAATTTAGCAGATGAAAGTAAATTTTAAATTGTAACTTTCTGTGTCTGTGGTGCTTCTGTCTGCTCTAGATGATGAACCTTTTGAGTATAAGGAAGACTTCCTTGAATCACAGTGGCTGTCCCACTCTTTTGGAGTGGGTGTTGATAACTTGATCATGTGTGTTTCAGGGAAGAATGATGGGAACACAAAATGGATATTCAGTAGCGCCCTGCTAAAACCACATCTGTCCTTATACAGCCTTCACTTCCCTGCGAAAGAGGCAGTCATTTTTCTGCCTCCCTTTTGGCGATGTTGAGAGGTGTCTGTGTACACTCTTTTTAATTTGATCTTCTCCTGTCCTTGCAGCCTTTCCAGTTGCTTGAGCTTTCTGAAAAGCCCCCTAAAGAACTTAACCTGGACTTCCTCCCTTGGGCCTTTCCAGTGTTACCAGCCTGCAGTGTGCCTGAAAACTGAGGCATTTTCAGTTTGGCTTTGTTGCTGGCAAAATCCCTTTTAAGGAGAACAGCTGCTGCAGCAGCAGCACACTTAAATCTCAGCATGCAGCAAGCGCTGGAAAGCCTCATCTCTTTTGGGGGGAGTTGAGGGGGTTCAGAAAGGCAAAGCAGCCAGAGAAACGGCAAAGGCCGGAGAGAAAAAATGTAAGATGGAGAGCATATGCTACCTTGCCATCAGCCACATCATTATAGCAAGGTAAGCCCAAAGTCCAGTAAAGTGAAAAGTTTCCCCACAGGTTTTAGTTGCACTTTTTGTTCTGCCTGCTCCCAACAAATGGTTGCAAATAAATAGATTGAAAAATTCATTACAGTGCCAATATACAGCTTACTTTACTGAACTTTTGAAGGAATGCAAGTCTTCTGAAAATCAATAAAAATGTTCATTCTGCTGAGACACAGGCTTCTGCATCTGTATCACTTCAGGGTGGTTAGTCTTACTTCATTTGGTTATAATTTTGGTTCGGTTGGTACCACATCTGCCTAATTCCATCTTTGGTTGCAATGAGCAGGGCAAGGTAAGTCTGTTCACACATGACATCCTTCCCAAGTCCGTGTGCATAGACACACACTCCATGGGTTATTCAGTACTATTTTAATTTTGCAACCCCTGCTCCAAGAAGGCCTACGGTTGCACTGCTGCCCCCCCCCCCTTTGCGCATCTTTCTCCAAAGAGGGATATTTGCCATTAGGGAGGCGTTATTATGCCACTTTAGGTCTAGAAAGTTTTTAGGTCTAGAAAGTTTTCCCCTTTCCCTCCTGGAGTGATTATACCACTGCTTCAAGGGCAGCGAGCACTCCCCTCCTGCCTGCATAGCTTTACATCAAGCTAGAATGTCAAGTCACCATTAAGGGGTGGGAGGGCACATAGGGGAGAAGGCACTCCTTCAGGTATCCGGGGTCCAAGCCGTTTAGGGCTTTATAGGTCATCACCAGCACCTTAAATTGGGCCTAGACTTCAACTGGTAGCCAGTGTAGACGATAGAGAACCGGTGTTGTATGTGAACACCTGCTGGTCCCCGTTAATATCCTGGCAGCTCTCTTCTGGACCAATTGAAGTATCTGTATTGTCTTCAAGGGCAGCCCCACGTAGAGCGCGTTGCAGTAATCCCGTCAGGAAGTTACCGTAGTGTGGGTCACTGTTGCGAGGCATCGCTCATCCAGGTAAAGGCGCAGCTGGTGGACCAGTCGAAGCTGGAGAAGGGCATTCCTCGCCACCGCTGCTGCCCGGGACTTCGGGGACTGGTAACTGATTGCAAGTTTGTATAGCCAATATGAATTTCTATATTTTGGAGTTCATGTTGAGCTCATAGAGCAATAATATCCACAGAAGGAAATGTGGTACATATTTTTGTTTATTGAGAAAAAAGTTAGATAAAATGTTACTGTTGCATTTACTGTTACACTGTAAAATTAATTATTTTAATTTGCATTGCTTTATAATCTAATAATTTCACTATTTTGATGTTCTGTTTCTGTCTTAATGGTATATAATTCTAGGGTGATATTTGGAATGGGGTCAACGTTCAGGACTCCAGGTATTCACCTCTAAAGGTGGAATGAATGAGTTCTAATGAGATAAACAGAATTCAGCCATTTCTTTTGTTGAAAGGAGGAGGGCAGGGTGAACAGATTTTCTGGGCCACTTGGAAACTGGGGCAGGAAGGGAGCCTGTGGGTAATCTGGTTACAATGGAAGTTGATTAACTGTGATAGCTTGGTGGAGCTTGTTACCAATGTGTTGGATGGTCTGTACTTCCTAATCATAACATACAATTGCAAATAAAGATAATATGTTAGAGGAAGCACATTTTCCACGTACTGGAGCAGAGGCAATTTTGTTTAATATCCTGAATTCCCTGATAGAATTCTGCAATGCTCCCAGGCAAAGGAAAAGTAAGTGCTGAATTCCTTTCCCCAACCATAGCAATCCCAAGCAATCATCATCATCATCATCATCATCATCATCATCATCATCATCATCGCTGCTGCTTCAGTTTATTTTTCTCAGCACACATACGCATTGGTGCAATACCAAAATGAAAGGTTTTTGTTTGTTTTTTAATGAAGTATGAGGTGCAGGAAAGCAAATACCAGCTGTTGAGAAAAAATGTGGGCGCTAACTCTAGTTCTCTTTATTTTTCTTCTTCTCCCCAGAAAGCTGAACTGGCCCCCAGGAGTGCAGGTCGGGAAACTGAGGCAGTGCTACCCGGACATGCAAGCTTGGGTCAGACTAGATGGCCCAGAAGACCCCTTCTGACTCACTCTGTTTTTATGTTTCTAGGTATAAAGAAGGAACAACCTCTTCACCAGCCACATCCTCAACTCTCTCAGGACCATTCCTTGCACTGGCATTTAAGTGCTCTTAAAAGGCCGGCAGTGCAATTGCACTGGAAGTCAGAGAAGTTACCACAACCTGGCTTTTTAAAATAACCAAGAGACTACAATGCACCAGCTTGGAAGTGACACTTTGCAAAGGTTATCACCCCACTCAGTTTGTGATTGATATGACAAAGGGATGCAAATTTACCTTTGCCAGGGCAGGCAGGAAAGGACTTTCTCCTGTGATACTCCCAGATGTTGGAATGCTCTCCCATTAAGGCTCTAATGGTTCCACTCAGCACTGAGGAAGGGGGTCAAGACACATTTTTCCCAGTTTTACGCTTTAGAATGCTTTGGTTGCAAGGCTGATTTTAAGGTTTAATGTGATTTTGTTTGGTTTGTTATCTATTTTCTTTTGCTAAAACACCTTGAGGGTTCCAGAAAGGCACTATCAAAATGAAATTAATTACCTTAAAAACAAACAGTGTTCTGAGAAGCCCATTGTTTAGTGTGCTAATGTATTACCCAGCACTTAACAAGATGGTGTCCGGCAGAATTAAATGTCACTAGAACAGCAACAGAGCTGAAACAGTCAGCACAATTTCTCCTGCTGCATCTTCCCTCACTGGTGTCGCTGAACCTGCCTCTTCATAAAGGGTAGTACCTGATGAGCAAATCACAAATGATTCATCATCTGAACTTGAAACCTGGATTGTACCTCCTATTTTTTCACAGAATTTATAAAAATGTGTCTATGCTTGTGTGTGAGTCTGAATGCACACATATCACTGGAAAGCACATGTTCCTACTATAAACAGCACAGCCATCAATCTTTAAAGCACACCCTAAAACAGCCTCAGCTGGGGCTCGGAGCTGGTATTCCGAAGCTCTCCCTAGTAAAACTCTGTGAAAGCAGCCCAGCTCCATAGGAACCATTCCCAGTGGTGCCGCAACCCCACTGACTGTAAATCTACTTAAAAATACAAAGGCAGGCTGAGGTAGCCCAGTAATAGAAGAAATGCTAGCTTTTGAGGGTGCACAGAAGCAAAGTATTTACTAAATAAGTAAAGATAAAGAGAAAAAATAAAACTTTAAAAAGTCAACTATATTCTGTTTTTTCTTTAAAATAACATAGTTTTCACTAGAATTTTGAATGCAATACATAGAAAAATACTAAGACTCATAATCTCTTAAAACTAAGCCATTTATCAAATATTGAATTAAGAGCAGCTTCTCATGTGGAAAAGAACCTTAGGAAAAATATCTGAGTTCCAAGGTCATTTTAAGTCATATATTGAGTCATATATTGATTTATTATTATGGATGTTCTCTTGGATCTAGGGAAAGGAAAATTATTATAGATGTTAAGATGCAAAGCAAGATCTCCTGTATATCATGAGCATCATCCATGGTACCTGTATGGTTGTACTTCTCCTGTTTTATATGGGGAATTCTGCAATGAGGTCACAGTTTTCTTGGCAAGTTATTTGTCTTTCACCCTGAAACTGTCCAGAAAAAGTCAAGGGACTCAGCTCCAGGCACAATGATGCTTTGGATGCTGATGTGGGAAATCATATCTGTGGGGTTTGCTTTCTCAGTCAAAGGAATTTGCAGTATTTGGGGATAAAAGCTGAAGAAGAATCTTTGATAACTGGGAACACTAAAAAAGCAAAGGGAAGTGGGGTTTCCAACCAAAGTCAAGCCTCTGGGATTTGAATCCACTCAGCAGCCGTTATAAGCCAGATGGCTGAGCTGCCAGGCTTCTGAAACTTGATTTCAATCCAGAAGGTTTTACAGGTGTGGAATTATTCTCAGGGGACGTGAACTATTGTTCTCCAGCAGCACAGCAGAGGAAAATCTAGCACGGCAGAGAAAATGCATGCATGCATGCACACATTTTGGGGCCCTGGTCCACCTCTGATTGCTTGTAGAAAGATGGATCTGCATTCTGAAATAGCAATGTGGTATAAGGGGTAGCATCCACACGTGGAACAGATCTGATTTCCCCCCCTTGATGCAACAAGTGATGCACACTTGGAACTCCTGGGCAGGTCTGTGTAGGTGTAGCCAACATAAATTCAAGCAGAGTCTGTTCTCTGCTACATAGGAAATCTAGGAACTGCAACACAAATAGTTTCACTTGCTTTCTGCTTCTCCTGAGAAAATCCTCAGAAATAGTCCCCTTATTCAGGAGTTGTTTTTCTGATAAGTAAGGTACCTTG